GTCCTATTGTTCATTCATAGATGTAACTCATTCAAACAATATACATATGTATATGTATGTTAATATGGGATCAGTAAAAATCTAAATATCCAAAACATTCCGCATTTGCACCATAGGCAGTCAAATATCATCCAGTTGTCGACTTTCAATCTTTCCTACAAACACACCAGCCAATGTTAGACCCAAGAAACTGTTCACCCCTACGCCGTTAACTTGCTTGTGCGCGGTGCCCTCAGCTTCAAAGAATCTCCCTGTTCCCCTTGAGACAAAGAAAGGAGTTTGAGTCTTTTCTTAACGAGAATCAGGAAACGATCAGCTGGGACCTTACAAAGATTGGTCTACCTGAAGACCTCTAGTTTTGCTCCTGTCGCGTACATTACAGGTCTGATGAACAGACCGCTTCAACGAGCCACGAATATTTGCTATCTCGCACGCATCAAGAAGAGACATTCCCAGGAGGGAAGCTATTGGATAATGGTTACCCAGAGAAATTTACTGATGCGTATAATAGATGGAAGTTACCGGTTGATCCCATCTGCGACCGACCGAAGCAAGGCGCATTACTCAGATTGACCTTCAAGGGTGATCATGTAATGAACGACATGTGCCAAACGTTTAATGTGGCGTTGTGTCGAACTTATAATGCCGCACAGCTTCGATTAATAACCGTGTACCCAAAGACTTTGTCCACCCAACCGAGAACAGAGCCAATCGCTCAATTCTGCTTCACATGTCGTCTATCAGATTACCTGCAGTTGCGGTGACACTTACATCGTCAAAACGAATCAGCCTCTGTCATAACGGAGGTCCAAGCACAATCCGAAAATATTACTGCAGTCAATGACAGCAATCTCAGAGGTCCATAGATAAGAGAAATATGAAGTCATCAATGGCACAAAGACAACTGGGCACATCATTAACGCACTTTTATAGTTCGAGGCGTTGTAACGTAACATGAATTCTAGACTCGGAGCATTCAGTGAAGCGATATTAGTCATGTTAGGTAATCCAGTTCCGTATGTACCAACGGTTCTGATGCACTCGATCCGAATACTGCGTAACTGATTTCATCGCATCTAACTGTTAGCCGTTGAACAAAATACTATCCGAAACTCCAAACAGTAAGGAGACGAAAGGAACACTACACATCCGGGAACTCGTCAAGGATTAGATACATTTCCCGGTGTTAGAAAATGGGATCAAGCTTATCGACTCGTTCTTTTTTGCAAATCAAATCTTATGCAACCACAATAGGTGGTAGTTATGGAAAGGCAGTCGGATCCTAGGTGGAACGAAATCCGGACCAAACAATTATGTTGTGGCCGTTGAGAGCACAAATCGTGCATTTATACATCTGAGTAGTTATTCCAGAAGATGCAACTATTATAACCCCGTTCACGAGAGAATACATGCTAAAACCCTTTGTGCAACTAAATCATCCACTGGTATTGATCCCGATGGTCTATTATAATCTTTTAAGTATGGTGCCCTTTCCCTAGCAGACACTTTTACTTCTCTCCTCAACAAATCCTTTAGCGCGTATTCTGTCCCTCACTGTTGAAGATCCGTCAAGACCCTCCCAAACTGCGTAGATTCAGTACTCTATTGAAACCTTCCGACAACAATTGCTCTAACATCATGTGGTCTTAAACGTGCCATTCTGAAACGTTTGTCTGATTATTTCGGTAATCTCAAAGATCCTCTCCAATTTGCTTATAAATCGAACTGATCCATTTAGGACGTTATAGCGTCCCTTGCTCATTGGGTCACTGAATTCGTGGACGCATCCGCGAAATCTGTAGGATATATTCTTAGATTTTACAGTGGTCTTTGACTTTGTTCCACGTTCCATCTTCCTTTATAAAATGGAATCACTGGGTTGTCCCGAAGCACCTACTAGCGTGGCTCGTTGACTACTTAAAAAGGAGCTCGGTGTGCTCGACTGAGTAAGATACATCTAACCAATCAAACACACCGAAGATGGAGCCCTCTATCAAGCCATTTTTGTGCATGAGGACCTTCAAAATTTCTCCAGCAATCTATCGTACATCCATGAATTTTTCATTCGTTTTGTTTCTTTATCTAAGCGCTTAGATTGCATTTCAACCCTATCGGTGGCAAACACAGATCCCCTAACTAGAGGAGATTCAGCGAAGTATCTAGCATTTACCATAGACAAACTTCAGTTGGGCATCCCATATGTGTAAATTCGTGGATTATCTTTCCGACTTCGGAAAATTGAGCAGTTCGATGCCAAACAAAAGATCATTTTGCTTTTGGTTTATCAATGCGTTTTTCCCATTCTTCTTTATGGGTTCCCTGTTGGGTGAGAAAGACTTCAAAATTCTTTATTGCGGTTTATCGACCATTCTTTATGTACCTTTTATACCATTCGATGATCTGCACTTGTCCGAATGTGAAACATTTGCACAGAAAATCTCGCCTGGCCTCACTCAAACGGCAATCTTTCCAAATATCGCTCTCATTCATCCAGGCGTTCTACATACCGTTTATTATCTTCTCGCATTAACCTCGACAGAAACTCCACACTTCCTTATCTCGCTGGAATTATCGGAAACTGAGAGTGCATTTCTTCTGAAGCTCTCAACAACCTTGGGGAGGTTATATGTTTTATTTGCATCATATTGTTCGTTCGATGAGATAACCTGTAATTTGTTAACTGAAATGCGAATATTTGTCCATGCAAAAATCTCTACAAATACAATACATCCGTGCACAAAAACGACAAACTAATTAAACACATTGGTACTGTAGTGGATCGGAAAGCATAAAGAGGAAACGAAATTGGGAAAGTTTCGTGGGGGATTACAAGACAAACGGACGAACGTGAAACTTGGGGGAATTTCGGCTTTTCAACCACGTTTCGTATATTCCGTGACAAAAAGCTACAAACATATGTTACTATAAAACTGAGAGCAAAGCATGCGAATGTGGGGTAATCTTGAACTCACTGCCAACAACTGATTATATGTGTCACGGGTCAGATCCGTCTGGCCGAGCAAATGAATTCTGGCAACGCACATATTCACATCAGATGGATTGCAGTTCATCACACGTAACTGATAGGTACCCGCATCCAAAGTGGCTACATCCGACTGGCAAAAAGCAAATAGAAGGACAGGGATGTGATTGCAGGGGATGAGGAAAACGGATGCAAGAAAAAATCCACTGTTTTCTATTTAGATATTAAGCAATACATTTCTAACTGACACATTTTCTCATGTCCCATGATGGCATGAATATCTCATTAACCAGTCACGGATCTGGAATGTTTCCAATAATGAACACCCCCTTGCATAATTTTTGTTGGATCTGTTTGCTACCCATAAATCTGTCTAGTCACCTATCCACCACGTGTCACTGTCTTGATCCGCGCGTCTCGTCGATCATCAGACACGCACTTTTCGTCTGTTTCATTACTTTGCTCGCCAACCAAAGTCGGTTACCTCCCCCCCCCGCCCCCATTTCTCATGACCGTTGTCCTTGACCCTGATATAGTCTGACTCACCCTGCCCTATGACTGTCGTATGAAGTTGCTTAATCTTATTCGGATTGGTCCAATGTTTCACCCATGCATCGCACTGTCCCATGCACACATGTGCGCTCCGACGTTATTTCACTCATCCCTTGTTCGTTTGACGGAGTGGTGAACTCCGTCGTTTGCACCTTGGTCCTCGATTGGCATTATTCAGTTCTCCGGTTCAGGCGTACCCCCTGGGAACGCCACTATTTGATGTGTGTTGTTTATGTAATTGTAACACTTAATCTTGACAGTACCGCATACTTATTCGCTATTGTTGGAGCCGAATAAACCACTAGAACATTTGGACTGGGTTTCTGAGGTTGCGCGTCACTCAACATTGGCTTGCATGGTCCTTTGGATTTACCAATTTTTGTGTTAGACGAATTCTCCCATCCCAGTAAAATACCAGTCCTATGTAGTTCTCTAAGAGTCCCATTGGATAATCCACAGTTGGTTTGAGCGACAGGGCTCATCCATTCATCTGTTTATCTCATATGGGGTACGTAAAACCGAGGAAGGCTACTTTTGTTATGCAAGCAAAGGGCCCTATTCCTTGAATGCTAAACATTATCATTCGTAGTAGTATTGATAACCGCTGATATGAAATGAGTGACAATGGAACTACAACGGATAGAAAAAGATGGCGACTGGTGCTAGGTACAATCTACTTCAGTTAACGATTTCCGGTTAATTCAAGAGACTATGAAGCATGTGCAGTATTCAACAAGTGTGGCTGAGAAAGAAATGATACTTTCCTCATCCGAGTCAAATGAGTTTTGTAAACAAACAACCCAGTAATATAAAAAACAATAAAAGTAAAGGGACTAATAAAAAGTCCTGGATAACCGGAGCGTAAACGGTACAATAAGCAGAAATGTGTGCATGAGTCAGTGGAGAGATGAAAAACGAATTTGCTGTGAATGAATGCTTCGTGAGAGACGCGCAACACGGCGCGTGTGTGTGTGTACGCGTTTGAGCAAATACGGAGAAATACAGCTGCATTAGAACGCGTGACAGGTGTGTGTGGAAGATTACCGGTATTTGAAAACCATCCCATGGACTATAGTTATACACCTCACCTGGTGAGTTGCCGTAACTGGCACGACTCGCAGTTAAGACGAAAAGCAACCAACAAATAATAACAACAACCACAAAAAGCACATAAGACTCGGTGCCAAAAACTAAACACATGCGGATGGATCAATTGCATAGTTCCATTAGCGCCAAACATGCGGGCTGAGCCGATGCGAAACAGATAGATGTGAAACTATGCATACATCCAGAATAGGTAATCGAATAAGATCACATGGGAAAATGAGGTCTCCGGGGTATGCCATTGTTCGAGTTAAGCTATATTAGTGAATTAAAACTAGGATCTGCCTGATAGTAACTCAATTGATACCACTTTAGGTACAACGAGGAAGTGCTCGAAGAAATCGGTTTCAAACGATCTCGGCAACAGAAAACGAAATTGCGATGAACAGCCGGGACTCAATTTGCACTCCCACATTATTCCGTGTTCCAAATTAGTTTTATTCAACCAGCCTTCACTCTCAGGACTCAATTTGAAACGTATGGATCAGGCATAAAAAGTGACAGTGATTGGGGACAGGAGAGGAACAAGACTACTTCAATGAAGACCGATTCGAATATCCATCCAGCCGAAGTTCATCAAACGAATACTTATCAGGTCCGGTATGGGGAAAACAAAGAAGACCAAATGTCAAGCGCTTTGTGTTCCGCATCCCGTATTCAACGAAACTCATTACTCGGTTAAGGAAATAGGTAGTTGATGCGACAAGACCTAACTAGAGTGGTAAATCACATGGTGGACCCCGTGGAACAGACTGAATCCGGTTAAAAAGAAGCTGTCTTCTATCAAACTGGGATAGCGGATTAGACAGACCGAAATATGCTACTGACAGTGGATAAACACAAGATACGAGGTTCTGCATCGATCCACAAGTGCACAGAGTCAGCATGATTCGTTGTATCCTTGTGCCCGAGTGGTAGGCCTCCTATACCAGAGCATATATATATATATATATATATATATATATACCACCGGCTTGTAGACAAGCATGTTGCCAACGCAACAACAATAATATCCATAACAATGAAAGATGACAGGTGGATTGGAGTAAAGCAGAGTGAAACAGTTAAACACGGGAAAATGGAAGATAACTGGGATAACAAAAAATTTTGTGTTTCACCGTACACCTTTTGATATTTTTTTCTTGTTTTTCACGGGGCACAGGATTTCGACAGGCAGACCGTACAGAATTCGCGCCATTGACTTCTATTCGGGCGATATCTCTCAGCGTCTTTAACCAACGACAATCCTCATCCCTTGGGCCCTAATCTGGAAGGCGGGCTGCTCCAACCGAAGCCAGCTTCTTCATGCCTCTAGCCCATGTCACGGTCTGACCGCAGCGCCGCTTCTTCCAGCCTTACCCGGCAAGTATGAACAGAGCACGGAAAGGTAGTCGATGGGCAGGCATACGCAATACGTGACCAAGCCATCGGAGGCAGTGTACAGCGATTACTTCTGTTAGAGAACGACTATCCGCACCCAACACAGGACGACGAACCTCGTCATTGCTCACCCGGTGTTCCCACCAGACATGAGCAATGCTTCGGAGATATCGGTGGTCGAATACAGAAAGTCGATCAGCATCCTTAACGCGGAGGGGCCAGGTCTCGCAGTCGTAAAGCAGAACGCTACGAACCGCAGCGATGTACACCCTACCCTTAAGGGACAGTCGGATGTCATGGCGTCGCCACAGGTGTCGCAGAGTGACGAAAGCTGCTCTAGCTTTCGCTATTCGTGATGTGATCTCCTTTTCAACACCAGCTGCGATCAAGCTTTCGAGGTCCTCAAAGCTCTTGACTAATTCCAGCTGATCACCACAGGGGGTGAGTGCAGGTACAGGCTCCTGCCAGTCTTGAACAAGCACTTTGCACTTGGAAGGTGCAAAGCATATACCACACCTGGATACCTCTATTGCCAAGCGGTTCAAAGCGTTTTGAACTGCCTGTGCGTTGTCACCTACCAAGGCGATGTCATCGACATATCCTAAGTCAAGGATTCTGTTCCCTGTGAGAAGTTGGACTCCACTGTTTGCTTGAAGGGACAAAGCATTCTGTAGAACATCCTCTATGACAAAGATGAAAAGGAATGGGGAT